CATGTGTGGTGAGGTTGGGGGGAGCTCCGCTCCGTCTCGGTTGAGCCATTGGGGGGGCCTTAGGCTTTCATGGCCGCGTTTGGGTGTTGGCGGGCTCGCTCCTCGCTTCCCCATTGGCCGCGCCGCCGAGAGGGGCGGGGCGATGCGGGCTGGTCTGGCGGGAACGGAAAGGTGCCCCCTCCTTCTTCCCCCCCCGCCATCTTGGGTGTGCGTCTGTGCCACCCCGCCGTCCCCGTGGAAAAGCTTAACGGGGCTCTGATTTGTGGTGGGCTAATGTGGCAGCGCTGATGGCGGCGGCTCGGGGTGTCTCTTCAGGGCTTTGCCTTTCTAGCGCCCTTGCAGCTTCTGTCTCGGGTCGGGACCCAAAGAGGGGCTCCACAGGCTTTGGAAGAGCCTGCTGAGCACGCGATTCATAACTGAATCACAAGAGTTGATAAACTGAAACTGTAATATTCAGTAACGACTGACCTCGAACTTCGGTTGCAGCCGGATATTACTATTTTTTTCTTTTACTTTTTCTTCCAGTGATCCTATGAATTCCAAAATGAAAGAAAAACTGAGTGCAGAAGAATCATCAGGATCTTTGCAGGTATAGGCTTTAAAATCTTGAAGCTAGAATATGGGAGCAGATAAGGGCTAGGAAGTAGAAGATAAGGTTTATTAAGAGTATCTCAAATATAGAATTTGCTTTGTTCTGAGGTTTGTACTCAATTCTCCGGGAAATAATCCCTCTGACACAAGTTTTATATCCAGTGAAGGAGTACAAAGGGATCTGTTGCAGTGTGCTTCCACCTGGCTTACGTCCTTTTGGCATGAGTAACCTCCTGGCAGTTAGTGTGGCTTGGGAACATGCTGTCCTACTTGGGCATACAGGCTTATGACCACTTTTCTTATTGCTCAGTAGGTCCTTCTTACTTTGACACTGAGCTTGCTGACTTTCCGTGTGATTTTTTTTTTTAGGTGTTGGCTACTTGCCTTGATTTGGTTACTGTGTCAGTCTACCTGCTAAGGAGTTGTAGAGTGGGTTCTGTAGTCTGCCCCTTTATAGGGGTGAATTTACTAAGCTAAATCTGCTTTGACTTGAGCATGCTTTAACAGAAGTATCTATGGAGGTAGTTCTGTTTCTGAAGTCACGCTCATGAGCCATAGCTGCTTTGGAATTGGTGAAATGCTTGAAGGATTTAGGTTTTTAAGAGGTGACTAATAAGTTAACTACAGTTTATATCTATTCCAGTCTCTTCTGTTAAGAGTCCAGAATCTTTTTATTGGACTTTTTAATGTAGACCCTAATTGGAATTGTACAAGTACCATGTAAAATAGAGGCTAGTAGCCTTCTCTCATGAGGGATAGGGTGATTGTAATGGAAATTTCTGGTATTAATAAAGATTGCCAATTCATAAGTCTGATTAATACACATGGTAATCTTGCCCTAGAGTGACTGTAGGGTATAAATGCCACAGTGTGGCTTTTGCACTTTCAGTGGGTTAACTCAGGTATTAGTCAATAATTTCTTGGCAGAGTATACTTAACTAACCTTCAATAGCAGCAAGAAGTGTCTGTCACACGGTGTGATTCTTGTTCCCACAGCAGTTAGTGTTTGTCCTGTAGTTCAACAGTAGGATAATTGGTGGCAGAAACTGCCGTGGGAACTCTTGTCATATGAAGTGCAGTGTGAATCGGTAACTTTCTCACGCTGCTGTGGCATTGTATTCTGGCTATTCTTGCTTGGTTGTCTGCCATTGTTTGCTGTCCCGTGGTGGCAGTGTAACCAACCCTATCAGAAAGCTTTAATGCAGGAAATGGCTATTTATGCATGACAGGAAGGGTGATAAACATACTGTATACAAAACAATAGCCTGTCTGGATCGAAGCAAGGAAGCTTTATATCCATTTTAATGGATAATCTAAGCAGCACATCTGTTCAAATCGTCACCACTTCAGGGTTTGTTCACAGGTAACAAAAAGCTGCCTGATCTGTGTAATTGCACCACAAACTTACAATTGTAGTTTCTTTTGTCTCTGTCCCCCGAAGTCTAATACTGCTGTTGTCAAATGCAACTTTAAGAGCTTCAGCTAAAGTTCTTGTGTCACTGCAATGTAACTGGCTATGTTTTTGATATAAGACCTGTTCAAGTTCCTTTAGGTAGGGTAAGGGTGTTCTAAGAGGGACTGAGCATAGCTTCATGTGATTATGATCTGTCACTGCTACAAATAACTAGATCCTTTTCTTAACACAAGCCTTAACATAGACATATAGACATTATGAGGTTTGTGCATAGGCATGACATCTTTTTGTCTTGAAAAGATGAACTGTGGGTTACATTAATGGAAGCAAGACAAATTCCTAAGTTTCATTTCGTGTAGAGGAGAGTGGCAACCATCTGAAGCTTTTGTCTTTTCAGAAATACCTCACAGACACCACATGCAATGCTGCCCCAAGACGGACTCTTAAAATGATTCAGCCTTCAGCAACAGGTTGCCTGGTTGGCAGACGTAATGAGGTATGAGTTTAAAAGATGTGTAGTTATTTCTGCTCAGTGAAATGCTTTTGAACTTTTAACTGAAGACATAGATTTGGAAAATATGTATAATCCACTAAGTAGTGTCATACAACTTAAGGTTACTATTACTTGAGTAATGAACAATATTAAAACCAAGCAATTTTGGAGTATTTCTGGAAAATGTATAAGACTTTTCTTTTGTTAAGCCTATGGGTATTGAGGAAGATGTCTGTAAACTAGAACTATAATGTGAAGGAAGTAGGGCTTCCTACTGAAGAAGACTTTACTTGCAGCTATGAGTGAACAGACTTAAAAGTTTGTATTTTTAAAAAAGCTGAAATGTTGCTCTGAAGTTAAACCTGCCTGTGTTTTATGCAGAAGAAATCTTCAGTCAGAAGGAAACTATGGAATAACAAGTTCACCTCAAAAGCTTGTAAAGCTGAGGTGTCTGTAAACAAGGAGCAAGAAAATGAGAACATGAATGATGTTGTTCAAGCTGTAGATCTCATGATAAAAGGTATGTGGTAATTCCTGAAATGTTTTCTTGCCCTTATTAACTTTGAAACACAGTTCCTTTATCAGTTAGATAAGGGCTTTATGGGTGTTTTTTGCAATGCCTAGCAGGAATTGATACTTATCCTTGGTAGTATAGTAAATACAGTATAGATATCTAATGTTTAAGAATGTTTATGGTAACTAGTAGCAGAGAACCATTGTGTGCTGCAGTGTTAAGAAGTCCTGTAGTTTGTTACTTTGGCTTGGTGCTGAGCTTTTAAGTGGCTCATAATTTGAAATGAAAGACTGTTTTGACCAAGTGTGCTGTGTGCAGTTTCTCCGAACTGTTAAGCCCAATATGGACAGTGACTTGGAAATAAGACTTAGGTCTTCTACAAAGTACACATTAAGACTGACACTTGCACATATGACCATCTTGCAAAGTCTGCTGCAATGTTTGAAGCAGCTTCTTGAAGCCTCTGCCTGTACAGCCATTAATACAGTGGAGTATCTGTTTTCTGTAACTTTGTCTTTAGTTGTAGATTTACAGCTAATGTCTGAGAATACACTACATAGTGAGCTCTTATCACAGTTTAGAGAACACTTGTATACTTAAGGTGATCTCAAGAGTTCAGTTTTAGCACAGACTTATTGTAGCTTCTTACTTCAGGAAGTCCTTCATCTCAATATTGGAAAGAAGTGGCTGAAGAAAGGAGGAAGGCTCTGTATGAAGTGCTTCAAGAAAATGAAAAGGTAGCTAGTGAAAGACAATTAACTTTACCACTGGATATTGTCTTCCTGTTTTAACACCTTGTTTTTTCAACTCAGTTGCACAAAGAAATCGAACAGAAAGATGGTGAAATTGCCCGCCTAAAAGAAGAAAATGAAGAGCTAATGTCCCTTGCTGAACATGTGCATTATATGACCAGCTTGGTTGAGGTACTTAAAGGAATTTTTAGTTAATGTTGTGGGATGAAAATGTGAGAAACCAGCAAAGATTTTTAATGAATTGTGACTTCTGTTTTGTGTGTTTACACAACTTTTCATTTTAAATTACTGTCTGACCTGTTTCCTGCAGGATTGCTTTAATCCAGAGGCATAAAGCCCCTTCTAGGGGATGAGTTTTTCCACCTTGGAACTCACAGGAGTAATGAGAATGTACTAAGAGCAATGTTTTCTGAAGGGGAGATTCAACCTGTTGTCTTAACAGAACAGGCTTTGCATGTTAGAGATGGGGATGAGGGAAGGAAGGGTTCATTTTTCACTTTTCTGAGATGACTTAAATTCAAATTTTTAGTAGGTTGTGTGTAGCTACTGGCTAAATGAAGTGTTTGTACTGGCTGTGTCCTTTGAGGAACTTAACTTGAAACAGGGGCACAAAGAGGTGCTCCCTTCTCCCTCTCACTGTTCCAATGCTCTTTAAAGTCAGGGTTTCACCAGGGACTTACCAGTTTTGTGAAGGGCTAATGCACAAAGTCTGTAGGGTTCACAAACCTGTAAGTTTCAAAGAGCTTCCTCTGAGAATTCCTTGGGGTCAGATAGTTGTCACTGATTCCATGCCTTCTCTCCCAGGAGTAGATTTTCTGTAACAGCCTCTGAAGCTGTGATAAATACATCGCTGTGGAACTTTGATACTAAAATTACCATCTAGATGGTTTTTGTAGGGATGAGAAGCTGGGTGCCTGGCAAGTGCCCTGAATCTCTGATTAGACTGAGGGGGTGGAAACAAAATGGAAGACTATTGCAAGCAACTTGATTAATCAAGAAGTAAACTTGATCAGCTTAATTTTTAGTTAGTGCAATTATTTAGATCAGTCTTGAAAGACTCCACTAATTTGCTACACTTGAAATTTTTTTTGGTGTTCAGGGAGTGCTGCTTGTTAGTGATAAGCCCACAGACAGTAATTAAATGACTTAAGGACTTAAAGAACTAGTGAAGTTGGAAACTTCTCTGCAGTTCCTCAACAGTCAAGTTCACTTATTAGTTGTAAGTTGCTCATGTCTGAGGCTTTAATGAGCCTTAAGACATCAAACAAGCAAGCAGCCTCTTACAGTCCTGTTTTTCTTCCTTGGATCAGATGAGGTGAGGAACTTTTAATTTGATCAAGTGCTAGAAGCTCTTGGGTCTTACAGTTCATCTAGACTTAATGTAGCTTCATTATCTCTGATTAAATATTATGAACTGTTATAACTTTTCTAAAATTAAACCTATTATAGTACTGTAGTAATATTTAACTTGAGAAGATGTTTCCCATATTTTCAGGTTGCTTAAGATAAAATGTGTCCTATGGAATAACCTCAGGAGGACTTCACAGTCAATAAAGCAGCTGTGGTCTGTGAGTTAGAGGTAGCAGTTTGAGTTCGTGTCTAAGATTTTTGTGACAGGAATGTTTAAATTATATTAACAATCTCCAAATGAAGACAATTAGTTTGTTTAATTCAATATGCACAGTCTTATTTCACTGGCTTTTAAGTAGAAAAACTATTAAGTTCACTGTCTTCTTTTCTAGAGGCTAACTGGGCAAGCACCTGACAATCTTGAGACAACAAAGAGTCTGGCTCTAGAGGAATCCAAACAAGAAAATGAAGAGCTTAACTGTGGAAATGATGCAGACAGCACTTCTGAAGGGCCATCACAAGTACCATGTGGCTTAAGGGAGAGTATATCAGGTCTTGCCTCAAAGGAAGCAAATAATTTGCAATTGTAATGCAACCCTTTAAATAGGCTTATGTGTGTGGCTTTTAATTGCAGTCTTCCTCTTGAAAGGATATACTAAAACTTCTCAGGTACAGAAACGCTTGTGGAAGCATTACATATGTTTTTAACTGGAATTATGTAGGAGTGGCAGCATCTGGATACTGTGTAGAAAACCTACTACAGGCTGCACTTAGTTGCTTGTATAAAATGCAAATACTTTGTCTTTAAAATTATTGTGTAAATATCTGATCTGACATGATACATGAAAGTTGATAAATAAATCTTTGCCTTACCAAAAGAGCCTCTTATTTGAGTGGGGAATAGCTAGTTCTAGGCTTGTCAGTTGTGACTACTGTAGATGGAAGCTTTCAAGTTTTTTAGGCAGTGCCTGGGCAGTTAAGTCCTTAAGAGATTTCCAGAATTTTGGAGAACAGAGTGGTTTTGGTAGATAGGGAAAGCAAAATAAAACTTGTGTGCTATTGATGAGGCTTCAGAAAGTCCAGAATGTGTAATAAGTCAAGATCTAAAGTTAAGATTTATGTTTTTGGGGGTTTTTAAATAATTACCTCTGTCTTTCAAGGGAGTCTTTTCCAAGGTGTATAGGTGAAAGCTTAAGTAGAAGGTATTAGATGGTCTCTTTTAGAAATACACTTATTGGCTTATAAAGAAAAGGTGGTGTGTTCTTGCTCCTAGTAACAGAACTGAACTAGGTGGAGACAAAGCAGCCAGTGCTTCAGAGCTATTCTGAAAGGAAACTCAATGTTTTCAAAGTACTGCTCCGGCATATTTACCGAGAGATGAGATGCCTTTTTACTGAGATAATATTTTTGAAGGGTTTACAGGACTAAAAAACACTCTAAAACTTTGAGGACCTTATCTGGTATCCATGAGAGGAGAAATACTTGCAGTTGAAAGCACTGAGGTAGAAGGGGAGGTTTTCCAGTCCTGAGTGAACTCAGCAGTTATTATGTAAGTAACAAGGTCTTCCCAGGATAGGCTTAAAAGATGGTGGCCATTGCAATATCTTGTGAAGAGCTTCAAGCTGGGCGGCTTTTAGGAGGCAGAGATAACTGGAAGGATTCTGGTTAATGGATCTATCAGGCCTTACCAACATGGGTGCTTCAGAGTATGTGTGAACACACCCATGGAGCTATCAGATTGGCACCTTTTGTTTCCTTCTGTATCTTGCTCTCCCAGTGGGTGTCAGTAAGTTGATAGATGTTTCACAACTGAAATCAGTTGTGACATTCAGGGAATGTCAGAACCATTGTAGGAAGTAACACTCCTGGCTCCCATTTCACCTTGAATCTTGTAACTACAAGATGAGGCATCATATTTTCCTGACAACTTTGTAAACAGGATTACACCTTCCAATGAAGGGGACTTGTGCAGCTGAAACATAGCTACGTAACAGCTAAAAATCAACATCACTAAAGACAAACTTTATATCCAGCTGAATCGCAGAGAACATTCTGTCTAGCAGGATAAAATAATCAGTTCCGGAACCTAATGCAGAATGTCATTCTTTCCCAGAAGTCATAAATGCTTTTGTGCACCAGCTTAACCAGCATGCTGACTCCTTTTCGTTGCAGAGACTATGGCCACCGTATCGTCTTTCACTGAAACATCCTGAGGCTGCTCAGAAGTGGGTGCATCTACTGTGTCCTAGCACTTCTCCCATAAAATGTGTGCTAACAGGAACAGAATTTCAGATATGTAAGAGTGAAGTGGGGGGAGATTGGCCATTTGCAGGTGTCAGATGTTTCAGGAAGGAACAGCTGTGCTGGGACTAGCAGAGCCAGGCAAACTGTGGGGTGGGTGGATGGTTTGTGTGAGGAAGAACTTCTAATTGGTTTAGCAAAAATAACAATTTTAGTGTGAACACCCATTGTATTTAAGACAATGTGTGGAGTGAATTAGACCATAATAACTGCTTGGCTGGCCAACTAACTAACTTGGTGGTTGGCATTGTGCTGCTTACATCAGAGCCTACAGCACTGTCATCTGTTGCAGCCTGTGCATAAGTAGAGAAGTTGGTCATTGATTTTTGCAGGTAGGCATGACGCAGGTTCATTTACTTTTCCTTAAGGGCCATCTGAGGAGGTTTTCAGAACAGGATTTGAGATTTTGAGCATGTTTGCAGATCTGCCAAGGTGGTGTTTGCAGTGCTCTGTTGTTCTTGAGACTGAATTGCATTGTTATCAACACTTTCTTCACCGGAAAGTGTTTATTGTACATTGTTAATTTCTCTTTCCATTCTTGTAATAACACAAGTGGTTCAGCAAATAGTAATGGTGTTCTGAGAAACTTTAATTTGCTGCTGCTTTGTTGATCTGCCAACAGCTGCCTGTAATGAAATGTGACCAGCTATGTTTGGGGTCAAACCCTTGGGTGTGATAATACCTCTGTTGTACCCCCGAGGGCACTGCAGCCACTTGAAGTGGGGTGCTGTGGATCGTATCAGCAGGATAATTCCATTACAGATCAGCAAAGCAGGGGTCCATATTTAAAGAGATACAGTCTGGCTTATTCACTCCTAATTTTGAATGCTTAAAGTCAGCAATATTCTGTATATAATGGACTGCAGCATAGGGTAAAGGTATAGTAGATACCTTTTCTGAAGGTATACTGGGTACAGGAGAAGTCCTACTGATAGGCTGCCCAGAGTTTCATGCTTCTAACTTACACTGCTGCTATATTTAGGGTGCTATAGAGGCACTACAGGTTTATATCTCTTAGGCAAAACAGACAGTAACATCATGGCAGGGTTAGTAAAAACCACCATAGCTCATGAAAAACATGAGGTAAGACTTAAGCCACTAACAAAACTACCAGTCAAACCCCTTTCCTGAGTGCACTTTTCCTGGTGGGCTCCCTAACTCTGGTCTGCACTGTTGCTGAGTTACTTTGGTACAGGAACATTTTCCTAACATACTTTTCTGGGGTGGTACAGACCTTTACATTTGCTGAGTCAACCTGCTGCAGCCCTAAAAAAGGTTTTATAATTACCACCTGCTGGTTCCTTCTTTGCTAGTTGGTAAGCATCTGTTGTCTTACATTCACCTCCATGTATCTGGTTTCCTACTCCACAAAGGAGAGCTCTTGCATTAATGTGGTAGGAAAGGGCAGCTTTATCAGCTCTGAGCATTAAAACATCTTAAGTTACAAGACAAGGATAGGGTTTGGTTTTATTTGCCTCTGGTTTCAGAAGATTTAGGGTTTGTTCACTTTTTCAAGGGTTTGTTACCCTGATGGCAGAAACTTGAGGGATTTTGTTTGGTTTTGTTACAAATTTAAGAGTTATTCTCTTTCTATATGTTGTAATGAATCATGTTAGAACATGATTCTTTGTTTTATTATCTAAAATGCTCAAAGTGAAATTTAGCCTCTATACCTCCCAGGTTCAAGTTTGTCAGTCTCAGATACCACAACAGGAAATAAATTTAGGCTAAATGTTCCCACTAAAATTCCTGTGAATTTCCTCATTTACTTTTTTGAGCAGTATTTGCTCCTGTCTGGTTTGTATGAGCTGTATACATGGTTTTTAATGGTTATAATGGAGTAGCAGATCACTTTAGGTTAATAAACTTTGCAAAGGGTGGATTTAAACCACAGTGAGATGAAAGATATAATTAGATGTAAGGTTCATTTGACATGGTACCTGTGTATGTGATCAGCCTTTTGCTCTCTGCAGCTTTGGCTCTCTGCTCCACAGACAGGTCTTTGTTCCCCAGGTCTGTGCCATAAGCCTGAATATTTGCAAAAGGGAAAGGAGTGTCTTCTGTCTGAGATGAGTCTGTCTTCACAGAAGGGGAGAAGGAATCAGTGAAAATTTGGTAACAGTTCTGGAGCATCTTCAGCATATTTTCTGCTTGTCCTTGTGGAGCCTTTCTTCATAAGCATCTTGAGTGATACACAAAGCTGCTTTGCTCCGAACTTACACTAGAGGTAGCTAGAAATGTTGCTTGCAAGTAAACTCATTCAGAGTGACAGTTCAGAAGGTAGTGCCTACAACCTGATGACATTGTAGTTTTTGCTTTAATAAAATCATATTCTGTGTTGTGATACACAAACTACAAGCAAGCTTATGACAGATGGTATGTATTACAGGTAGGAGCTTTTGACAGCTAGGGGAATATAAGCATATTCTCATCTCTTTAAATAGTGTATGCCTCTTGCTGATGCTCTGGGACGGGAGCAAGGGCCTGCATACGCACACTGAAGCAACAAGAGAAGGGATACTGAGAGGGCACAGTACTCCCCTTGCTTCCACGATAGTATTTTTGTTTAAAACTGGCTTTTTAAAAAATGTGCTTTGGTTCACCTCAGGTACAACTAAGCAGTAGTTTTCGCTATACTTTCATCTCTACTCTTCTTACTTTTGTGGTTTGCATGTTTATTTCAGTTACTAAAATAGCTTGCCACTTACCTCATGGCCAGCAGAAAGATGAAAATGCAAGAGTTGGGTATATTAAAACACAAGCTAGTATTGTACCATTTCTCCTCCTGCACAAGAAGATGCAGTTCTCTGTCCCCCCCTTAGGCAGTAGTCCTTGCTATGTGTATTGCTCACTTGCTCTAATTTAGATGTTTTTGTAAGATCTGAAAGTAATGTTCTTCTAAGTCTTAACAAAGTTGATATGGTACAAAACAAACTATGCTGTAAGGAATCTAGCTGATGATTTCACATAATTTAGCTAAACTGTTTTGAGATTGTCAAAGTCTTGTGACTGGGCTTGAGAAGACAAATACTCCCTACAAGCCTTTTCCCTTAATATGATTAAACAAAACCCTAATAGTCTGCCCCAAATCCAGCTGTGAATAATGGATGTAAGAGCTACCTATGATATAACTCCCTAACATGCATGATGTTTGATGGTTGTATGAGCCTCACAGTGGAAAGGCTGCTGATAGAAATAGTGACTATACATATGGACTGATGTGCTTAGTAATTAAAAATAATCTTTATTATAACTTAAATGTGATAGGAAATATGGTGAGTACAAATGCCATGAAACTAAAAGCAAAAAAATAATAAAAAAAAGTCAGTACAAAAGGACACCTTGGAAGAATTCAGCTGATGGGATAGGTGTGGTATAAAAACCCTAACATGGTTATTTCACCTTCTGCAAAAAGTCTATATGCCTCAGTAAACAAGTAAGCATTTTGAACTGTACAAAACGTACTTTTTTAATTAAAGGAAGAATATATATATTTATAAATATACAGATATGTACATTGTAACATTCACAGTAAAAAACCCAAAACAACCCCTGCCTGCCAATGTGTTTGGCGCACAAGGCTTCCTTTTGATGCGAATTGTTTGCAATCTTTTCTATGTAGTCTATGCAAATTTGGATACTTTTAATTGACATCTAAATAGCATTTCATGCATAACAAACACAGTACAGGAACACTCTTCTGTTAAACTCTATTCACCTCCTCTGTTAACTTAAGGCTGGTAATCAACAATTTGAAGCACTTTCTGTTTGTCATCCTTGCAGTGAGTGGGTGGGGGGGAATGCATTTACTTCACCCTCTGTTTATTTCTGCCT